CCCCCCCCCCCCCCCCCCCCACACCACACCACACCACACACACACACGCGCGCGCGCGCGCACTGAATGCTGAAACCTTAAGACCAAACTACTTATTATACACCTGTGGCGACTTATATTGGAACTCACAACATCATTATAAGCACATGAGATTCTCCCTTTAAAGAGGACAAAACGTATCTCTGTGTCAATGGTTAAACTTCACAGCACTGTTTTTTCTCTGTGTCGTAGAAACGTTGCGAGTGTGTGTTTGTGCCACGCTGCTCCATAGTAACTCGTGCTCGTCACGACGATGCTCCAAAGCATCGCACACCTTTGGCTTTGTACGTACACCGAGACAGTCGAGCAGATTTTTAAAAATATATAAATAAAACATTGTGAATCATATGTGAGACCTGTCCTTCTGCATCAACTGGCTGTGCTTCTTTCTGAGTGCTGTGTCACATCTGACATGCCATGAAAGCCACACACACACACACACACACACACACACACACGTTTTGCACCATGATGACGATGCGTTGTAAAACCATTACTGAAACTGTTTTTATGGCTCTAAGTAGATCTGTTTGTGCTGTGGGCCCTGTTGCGTGTTGATCCCGCCGATCTGACGAGATGCTTTTCTTTGTGTATTTCCACACAGTCACGGGGATGTTTTAAATGGAAAAGTAAGACGCAGTTAAACTTTACACGTTACCCTAAAGACGGGAAACTGATCTGAGGGAACAACCAGCTGCATCGTCAGTTTGCCGAAGTATTTGGACAGTTGGATCAAGTTGAAAATTGTATTTTTGATCGATCAATATGAAGCCAGAATCGATCTTCACAGCAGACATTCTGACAAAAGAAAAGCCCAGTTGTAAAAAAATGACTAACTTTCTGTGATACTATGTTGTTGGTTACACGTGCACTTTTCTTGCCATGAATATAAATTCAGACTTGACAGATTTTGACCAAAGAACAGGCAGTTGATGTAGTGAGCCCACTCACACTTTTTTTTTTATAGTTGGAAAGTGATTCCCAACCTTTTTGGCTTATGACCTGTTAAAATCAGGCAGCATCTGCTCACAGCTGCTCATCACATATCAGAGGTGAGCAGGTATCATTTTAGAGGCCTGGAAAAAAAAACTACCACAAATTTCACAATGACATAAATATTTCTTCCTCTCCTGTTAAAGGTACCCTGTGGAGTTGTTGACCAATAGCAATAGATGGAGCAAAGTTCCTCAGTGTGGTGTGATTCATATTCCTGCCAAAGGTCACACTATTCTACTGATCTACAGAAGGCGACAACACGCAAGGAAGCGATGTGTCAAAGGCAGTAGAAAAGACACTTTTCAGACTTGTAAGGAAATCATTCAACATGTTTGTTTGACCTCAAAGATGAAGACAATGCAGAAGCATTGTTTGCAAGAAAACTCCACAGAGCACCTTTAATCACCTCAGATGTACCCCAGATGGGGGACCACTGTTCCATTTTGTTACCTCCTAATTGTTAAATTGAATTACTGCAGGATTCCTAATTTTCTGATTTCTATACATCAAATACTTCAGTCTTTCCAGGTAAAAAAAAAAATAGTTTTATGCCACAATTATATGTCCATTTGCTCCTAAAAATAGAAAAGCATGGCCGGACGACAGTGACCTCCCTGCTTCAGCTAAAATCTCAATGAGATCCATTGTAATGTAATAGATTATCTAACATGACAGGGTATCGACTTTTCAGCCTCACTAATGTAAATAGGAAACGTGACCAAAAATCAGCTCACCTTCACACACAGTTCGCTGCTTCGACCTACAAGAGAACAATCGTTCACAGTAGATCAAGTAACGGGCCGTCTGTTGTCCTTCATATACATTAATAACTCCATAGTTAAAATACTTTGGCAAATGTCATATATATATATATAAAAAAAAAAAGATGCAAACAGAACCTGACTGACCTGAGGGGGAAAAAAAACATCATTGGAATGTTGAAAAAAGGATCATTTAAAAACCACAATCTTAAACAACACTATATATGCAGTTCTACAAATGGAGGAAATATGCATGTCTACTTTCTGGTAATTTTTCACTGTTTTCTTGATAAAGAAATGGAAATCTATGTTACTTGCATCCTTGAGGTTATGAAATGGCTCCGTCTGAGAAATCGAAATCAAGTGATGTTATCTCACAGTAAAATGCATCAATGATTAGAAAAGAGCCTTAGCTTGTATGTAAGTCTGTTATTGCATCGTAGCCTTATACTAAAGGGGCTGCGCGTGTCTATACTCTGAGTTTCATTTGGATGCTGGATTTTTTTGCATGATCATACAGTTAATAAACATACATTAAAAACGATCAGGTGTTTGTTTGGATGGTTGTTCTTCATAGCTTTGAAATGAAAGAGAATTTAATAAATATAGCATTTCAACACTGGTGTCCGTTTCTCTCACGTTGCAGCTTAAAAATGTCCTTGTGTGGTGAAAGCGGTTATTAAAGTATAATTATTTACAGCTGTTTTAAATGAAGCATAAAGACAATATACTTATATTACATATTTAAATGCTATATATCATAAGATGTGTAATATTGTATCCATTTAAATAATTAAGAGCAAACGTAAGGTTTTATTTTAAATGTGAGAATGTACAAGACTGGAATATCTTTTAGTGCATTCAACGTACATTCAGCATAGACTGGTTATATGTGATATTTACAGTATTTGAAAATTGAATTCGTCATATTGATTTCTATCATTTGGCATAGCTTGAGTGAGAACATACATGTGTTGGGTAAGAGGGGAAAAAAATCGTCTTTAAATGTTTATTTTAAATTAACATTGTCCCTCTTATGCTGAGGATTTTCCATTCACACAGACCAATATTTAGTCATATTTATAGACTTTATACTATCAGTTCACTATCACTGCAGTACTGACAGTCACCTCTAGGGAGTGCCACAGACCAAACAAAACATAAACGTTACAAGGCAAGTAGCATCTCATCAAACTTACAGTGAGCATGTTAGCAAAGCAATAGAACTTGTCTTCTTTTTAAAAGGTGTAATATCTTCATAATTTTTAAGTCTGTCCTAAAACAATCCAGTGCCCATTTATGCATTGAACATTTTTTTGCTTGCTTTTAAACATTCCTCTTCATGCCGGCCATTGACAGACCCCTTTGTAAGTGATGGGATACAAAGTCCTCAGTTTCTAGAAAATATATTTGAAAGAGAGACAAATCAATCTGGGATCTTCTAATCTAAAGTGGTGTTAGTGCAGAATGTCCTCTGTGATTGTACTATGAAGGCATTGACTTTAGGATCAATGACTGCAGATTTTGTCCAACGTGTGGACACTGGTATGCGACTATGGTCTTAAAACAGACTGAAGAGTGTTTTTATACCTCCGATTCATGCTGATCTCTTTCCTCCCTCACTCAGGCAGGACACGGTGTGAAATTAAAAAAAGAATGCATCCGATTCTGCGTTTTCTAACTATCTTATCGTGACTGACAATATTATAGGAGTGCAATGCTAAACAGGTGGAGTACTCTTGAGTACTCATCTTTAACTGGGCTCCCTCATCTTCAGACAATTAGAAACACCTGTTAATACTATTAACACCCCGAAGGCCTCAAACATGACCGTAGAATTGAATCAACATCTCTGAGAATATAAACAAAGACCTAACAGGGTAGGCTGTTGAAATAATAGCTGTAGATGGTACTGCACAGGTGTACACACAGTGACAGTATTACACAATACATTCCTTAAAATAACATTTGGGTCTGTGTGTTCAGCATACAAAACACAAGAGCCACGCGGTAGTCTTGATGAATTTTAATTACATCAAATGGATTTATGTAAAAAGTGGAAAAGGAGGAAAAACACTGGGTTTCATCATCACCATCATGTTCAACACGGCAACAGAAATCTGCACGTACTGGGCAGGTTACAGGTCACCTACGCTGAGGAACTCAGGAAGTAGATACACGATGCTGCGGAAGCAGGAAGTCCACTGTAGTGTACTTTTACCGTTTTCCTTCTCAGAGCAGGATGGGAAGCGACAAATGAGATGGTTTAGTGAGACTTCAATGATTTAAGCTAAGATGAAGTAAGTTGTGTGTGTGTGTGTGTGTGTGTGTGTGTGTGTGTGTGTGTGTGTGTGTGTGTCTGTCATTAGCCGTGGCTGCCAACTATAGGTGACCTGGAACACTCCCATGATTAGTGTCTCTCGCAGGTCACACAACCTTCACTCATGATTGGCAGTCAATCACACAGCCGTCATGGCTTCATGTCCAAGTCCATTCGGCAAATCCCTGCTGATCGCTGTCCTCTCTGATTGGACAAAGGAAGTGGGGTGATTGGCTGATTGATTGCTCCATGCAGATTGTGATAGTCTGAAATGTTTTGGTGCCGACATGCTTTGAAAAATGTTTTGTATGAGCCCGACTGAATGTTGTCCATGCTGCCCATTCACAAAAAGACGTTTTATGATCATGGCGTTGGGCAGGGCAGAAGAAGGTCCGGCTGAGTTTGAAGTTGAACAGAAGATCCAAAGCGGAGTCATCGGTCTGCTTTAAGATCGCCCTTTTGGCTGATGTGTGAACATTGGCACTTCATCTTAGTCCGGAGAGACTAGTGCACATCTAGCAGTCTGTCACACTGAGGGACACGTGGCAGTGCAATCTGCCACAGCTTTAGTCCTTATACAAAACAAAAACTGTCACAGCAACATTTTCTAGGATTTTTCGGTTTCCTTGATTCAAGGAAGAAAAAGAAAACGGAGAAGGAAGCCACGTTTCTCTACTGAAGTGTCCTGGGGTTTAAAACAAAAGAGGAAACTGGGATATACAATCTTTTCTCACTGTAGACGGTCTCAGCAGATTAACTCTACTAGGCTTCAGACACACAGCTCCAAGGCCACCGTTCTCTCTGAAACCCAGGCAAGCAAAGAAGAGTGGAAAGAGTAGAAGAAGAAAAAGACAGATTAGAAAGTAAAGAGGAAAAGTTGAAAGAAACAGAACACAACACAGAAGAAAAAGAGAAGATTTAAAGTCAGAAATTGTATCAGCAGACAGTGAAATCTGTGAGGAGACAGAGGGAAGCAGCCAGCCTGGATCTACATGCATCATCAAGGGAACACGAAGGGGGAAGGATTTCAGCGCTACACTGAAGCCATGCAGCAGCAACAAGCAGCAAAGGGCCAGCTTCTGTTTCACCAGGAGGAAACAGTCAGTCACCTGCAGCAACAACACGAGGAGCATCATGGAGGAGGGATACGGGGGGGAACGTCCCATATGCCATGCAGACCAGGGTCCCATCAGGCTCTGTGAACAGGCGTTTGGCACCACGGGGACGGTGGAGCGACGGACAGGACAGTGACGGGGTGGGGGGGGGCAGGATTGGGCTTACAGAAGCAAGGCATGGCAGGATGGACGACATCTGTTACACCATGTTTTAGGTTCCCATGGAGACAAGACCCCACCCACCCCGAACCCTATTCCTCCCGCTCGAGCAGCACTCACTCACCACGCGCTCGCAGCATGGTAGCAGACAGACGAGGGTTTAGCAGCTTTGCTGCGGCTCCCCACTCCTGCTTTTAGACTTTCTGCCCTCCACATCTGTAGGACAAAGGCAATGTTTATGTTACATCTGTAGACAGAGACACAAAATGTACCTTATACCTGCATATAGATAAAAAATACATTAAAGCAACTTCAGACCAGCAAGTCCAGAGTACAAAAGCAGAAATAAATAAAGGATGGAGAGGCAGACGGTTCTACTAGTATTGGCACAGAAAGCTGTGCTCGTCTTTGATTATAACTTAATGATTACAACAATCTGTACAGTCAGCCAGTCGAAAATACACAAACAAATATTATCCATTCTCAATTTGTGGTGCGTCGGGATGAGTAAACAAAAGTCTCCAGATACCAAAAAGTAATGATGTTAGCTTCATTCACAAAACAATCTGAGCACTGAAAACGGTTCTTAATATATTGACTTCCTGTTTCAATAACTAATAAAGGGCCGACTACAACTGAAATATGATAATCACCCACGTCATCCTCCTTTACCTTCACCGTCAACTTCCCCTTAACCAACTAACACTTCCCTCAGATTATTTTAGGAATGAAGCTTCATCATTTTGTCACCAGCCCAAGACGTCAGTTAAGACCCACGTGAGCAAAACCTGCAGAGCAAATGCTCCGGCAATTAATAATATCATAAAAAACTAAATACAGAAAAAGGTGTCAAATGTACAGAAACAGACCAAACACCACGTCACTACAAACAAAAAGATAAACATGGCAACCATTTTGATCACAGCAGTCAAAATGAGCGTTTTAAGGTTGGACAGAACAAAGCCATGCAATTTAGTGGATGATGTTAAAAAGCAGTGAAGAAGACACTCAGTCACCCAAAAATCATCGAGACATCATCATGAACAGGAAGTGGAAAGTGAATCTATTATCTGACACATTGAAAAGACATTGCAGCTCTGTGATACATCCCACAATGCTCTGCTCTCTGTTAGAGACAACTATTTCTGACATTAAGATTTTTTAGGTATTTGTTTGAATGGATCCTGGTGACAAGTTCCCTGAATCTCCGTTATTATACCCACTGTTAACTTATATAAATACTAAGCCTCAACTGTGATAGAACAAGCCCTAAACGGCAGATAATAGTATAGTGTTAGCCAGTGAAACAGGTCTGATGAGGAAACAATAATATGGCTGTTGGATGAAAGAACATTCATCAAAGTCCCACCTCAGACAAAAGAACCTGGCAGAAAACAGGAAGTGGCAAAACAAACAAAACAAAAAATTAACCGATTCACTAATCGGCACGATGGCAAACAGAAAAGAACAAAACAAAAACACCACGTAGAGATAGGGCTCAAATAAATACATGCAGAGGATTCATTCATCCTTTCTCTTTCCCCTCTTTACGTCGAGTTTGGTAGAGAGATCGGCCAGCCGCAACCTCCCCGTCATTCACACACACCCGTACTCATACCACAGGGACTGCTTGTCCTCTGGGCTCAGTGACTGGTCCAAATCACTCTCACAACTTGGGTCAACGCCCTCGTTGGACTCTTTCAGACTGGCTGGGCTGGATTGCATCTGGCCATTTGAGTGGCTGTAAGGAACCGGGTTTTGGGTAGAAGCATGGTCGGGGATAGGAGGAGGGTGCGTTTTATTTGTAACCGGAGGCCCACTGATGTTGCTGACTAGGGTGGGGTTTAGAGACAGGAAGGGGAGGTTTTTGCCCACCGACTCACTAAAGATGGAGTCCATGAACACAGACTCTACGGTGAAGGAAGGGCCGAGGAAAGACTCGAGGGTGGAGAGGTCGGGATCCTCCAAGCTATGGCAAGGTAAGCTGAGTGACTTGGGCAGGGGGGTGGCGGTGGTAAGGGGTCCCTTTAGGTTGGTGCTGTTGGGGTGGTACTCACTGGGTGTAGGCTGGGAGCGCACCCCAGCCTTGGTGGAGGCAAGAGGAGCAGCAACGTCGATGGACACCGGCTGCCGGTTGTCCTTTGAGAGCAGGTCGTGGATGCTGGTGCGGCGCGAGGTGCCCTCGGCGGTGGAGATGACGCTGCTGGCACGCGGCAGCGTGGAGGAAGCCAAGTCCAGGCGTCCGGACACGGACGTGGCTTTGCTCTGCAATGACAGGCTGGAGCGGACCGGGACGGAGCCTCTCACGCGGGTGCTCTCCGCCTTACGCAGGGTCGGGCGGCCCGGTTGTCCGGCGGCTCTCGGTGGGCGATCAGAGCTGACCGGCGCCGCCTTCCCACTGGATGAGCGCAATATGCCTCGGCTCTTTGTGGGAGGGCATTCTTTCTGCACGTGCTCAGAGGAGGTGGAGAGGCGCGGAGAGTCTACAGTGAGGTTCTCCTGACTGCCAGACTGCAGAAGACAGAGCAAAGAAACGGTGGCAAGTTCAGCCCACAGTTGAACTGCACAATATATCGTTTCATCACCGACACCATCTTGAAGTATTTTTCTTTTGAATAAGTTCTTTACAAGAGCACAACATTGTTTATGTAGCCTCATTATTTTGCACTTAAAGTGGACCAGATGGATGCATTTGCCTTTAAAATGTAGCCTGCAAAATGTAGGGTGAATATTCCTGTATTATTTCAAAAGCATTTTAGATTGCAGAAAAAAAAAAACATTCAGCTTCTCTGTCAAATATGGTCATAAAACAAATATTTTTGGGTTCTGAACTATTTCATCTGGATGTTTTCAAACAAACAAAACCATAACAGCAACATTACACATCAGTTATAAGCAAGTTAGAAACCTCACCTCTGCAGGATCAATACCCTCATCCAGGAACTGCTGCAGGGAGAGCACCTCCTTGGCTGGGGAGCCCGTCTTCGTGACCTGGGTCGGGCCGGTGCTGCCTGCGGCGGCGGACGGCTCGAGCGACCTGCGCAGCTGCAGGGGGCTCTGGTGGCAGAAGCGCGAGGAGGCGGGCTGCTGGACGGGGCTGCTGCCGCTGCTGGACCAAACCTCCTGGTCCAAACTCAGGCTGAACTCTCCGCTGCTCTCACTGTGAGGCCGGCTGAGGTTACCGTTCAACGCGCCTGTGAGAGGGACAGTCGAGTGATTAGAACACTGGGAATGTAATCTATGATCTTTTTCATTCACCACTAGGAACTGCATCAGGATCACTCCTCTCCTACACTGCCTACTCTTTCACAATATATAGTAATGATAGTATTAATTTTAACACCGTAATATACTGCTTTGTTATCTGCTTTTGCAGTGTGAGGTCTCTTGAGCCTTCATAACTGAATTGTGTTATAGCTTTATTGCTCTTTTATAACATCTGATGACTTGAAAATGAGAGAAAATAAGCAGATTTTAGGAATGTGTTGAACTTTCAATAAGCTGTCAGTTGTAAGTACATCAAAACCTACGGTACATTGAATATTAAATATATCCATGATGCCATAACAGTGCACCTCCCACCCATGTGTCAGTATGTCAGTAAAACATAAGACTGAGTGTAGCTAGCACCAAGGCTCTGGATCATCCTGATGTATTGATTTTGAATAAGAGAATGAATGATTTTCCTATAGTGGAGAGAAAAAAGTAACCCTTCACTTTTTTTAAATCAGGATAAACGGACTTCACAGGAGGACACATTGAAGTAGGTTTGAGTAAAGGCATGAAAGAAAAAGATAAAAGGGAGCAAAGGAGGAATGGTTAGTTGAGTTAAGGGAAGGAGGAGCATACCTTTGCCCTCCAGAGGAGAAATGAGGTGGGAGTTATTGTTACTATTACTACTGGTGGTCCTGTTGCTATGGAGACTGGTGGGTCTGCAGGCTGGTTAGGGAACACACACACACACACACACACACAGTTAGAATATATATATATATACACACACACACACACACACACACACACACACACACAGACATGCACGAACACAAAGAGTAACACGTAGGTGCACGCTGACGGTTTGACAGAACGTCTCCTGCTGGGGCAGCAGATGGCACATGCCAGGCAGAGGGACAGGAAGGGTGGCTCAGTGCCAGGCTGCAGCACCAATATGTCCAGTCAGTAAACAAAGAAACTCCTGACTGAGAGGACAGGGACGCCCAAATCCAAGGACCAACCCACCTCAGTGGAAAAAGGGAACCGGTAGAGATAATACTGATTAACAGCGGACGGCAGTGTAAGATTAGTAGTGGAAAGAATAAATGTGTGGCTTTATGTGAAACTGAGGGGGAGGAGTTGAGAAGGAAGAAAGGAAAGAGAAGAAGTGGTGACATTGTGACCTTGCTCTTCACAGGGACATTTTCAGCTGGAAACCAAGCACCGTGAAATCATTTTCTCAGGACACGGGTGTCACCGAATTACCATTTAAAATGAACGATTACATCATTGATCATTGTCACGGTTCTGTTCATGTCTAGGAAACCAGCCCATTGTGGCCGGGAGTGGGATTCAGTGCCGAGTAGTGGTCACTTACAACAGATGCTACAGGGCACTCTGCACACAACGCTCAGCCCAACAGGAGAAGGACACAGAGCACTGCTGGACACCTGCAGGCCTGATAAAACACACACACACACACACACACACAACTCAACACACCCTGGTCGTGGCACATGACATGTTTGAAGGGTACATCACACTGCTCGTCAAATGTTAAACATGATAACATCTCTAGAAGACGACCTCATGGCTGATGCATTATAAGCAATGTCCGGTGTGTGAGTGAGCGTTTCCTCCAGCCATTAGAGACGTACATAGACCAGTATCTTTACATGCAGTCTGTGAGACGTACTGGGTCTCACGATAATGATTTGGATTTTATGAGTGCATTCTGGGAACTCATCAGCTAAGTAGAGTCCAGTTCGGCCACTAATGCGTTGCCAATGTCCTGGAAATGAATGTCCTGTACACATAATATTTTGATGCAAAGTAGTATTAAAGGCACAGTGTGTCGGATTTGGTGGCATCTAGTGGTGTGAACTGAATACCCCATCGTTCACACATCTCTAACCAGAGCAGCAGAGTGCAAACCTGTGTAACGTCTTATACTAAAAGGGTATAAAATGCATTGAAACTAATAAAACAATGATTTTAAGAGACTAAAACGGATGGCAATATGGCGTAGACTTAGCTCAAGTGCCAGGAATGTGTGCGAGTAGTTTAGTGGCTGTTTAACAACTGGGTCATCTTCATTAGAGCGGCACAGAACTGATGAATAGCTGCTTGGCCGCAGATTAACTGCCCTGGATAACGTCCTAAAGCCTGAATTAGAGTCAATCCTACTTTCAATGGAGGCTGATCTCTCTCTCTCTCTCTCTCTCTCTCTCTCTTGCGCTCCACTAAAATTGCTTTTCCAACTGTAGATCAAGCTTAATCGAGGTGCAGGAAGGCAGCCCAAAGATTAGCAGTGGGACCGATGATGACATGACCTGCTTTCTTTTGGGGGGCTATCTGGTCTTTTCTCATTCCTTGTTTGAAAGGCCGGCTGGTGTTAAGAGGCTGCTGAAATTACCTTTTTCTTTTCTAATGTCAAGTCTTACCTTGACTCTTGGGGTCATCTAAGGAGCCGGCAACGTCTTCACAGGAGGCATTATCTGTAGAGAGACAGAAGAGTGGTGCTACAGCTGCTTTCTTTCACTTTGATGTAACAAAATGTCACCAGCTTCATATGAATCTTCACAGCAACCAGTCCAGTCTACTGAATAAGGGAATAAATAAATGTATAACAGATCTGCAGATCCTTTCTTATACCTGAAATCTGGTGAGTAAACACCAAAAAAAGAAAGTGTCAGATTCTCAATATGCCCGTTTCTCCCTTCCATCACACAAAATAAAACCAGCATCCTGACCTTTGACCTGAAGACGGTGCTTGGCCCTGCTGTGCCTGGCACTGGGCAGGGTGAGGGCGGCACAGTCGATGGCGTTGGTGGAAAAGGCGAGCTCCTTCATGCGCTGGCCGCCGCGCCTGCTGCTCACGGTCATGCCGGCATCGGCGCCGTCCAGGTTATCAATGCTGCTCGCCCACTGAGCCCCGGGACCGCCCGCCACCGCCATGGTCTGCAGCAGGTCATTCATGGCTGAACGGACGAACGGAGGGATGGAAATTAGGCCCCGACAGGAACATCAGCCATCCACCTCAGTTCATGTTTGTTAAGCTTTTTGTACCCAAAAGAACTGTTAACTTTAACTGAATGTGATGGAGACGTTTGTATCTCTTTAAAGATAATCACTTGAGGGTGTAAAATGGCTTAAGGGTTAAAGAACAGTTTCATAATTACTAGTACCCTCCTACAGGCTACTAGAGTAAGTAGTTTCCACTCCAAACGTATATATAAAAGATCATAACTGTTAAAAGTTCTATTTAATATTCAGTGAAAAATTAATTTTGTAGAATACAATAAAATCAAGTCCAGCCATTTTGGAAATCAAGGCCCGTGCAAGCAAACAGTATTAATAAAATACATTTTAAAATATCACTCAAAGTGCATAAAGATGGCAGCTGCTTTGCCATCCTTTAGATCCTTTTTTTAAAAAGGTGATAAGATTATCTGAGAAGGCCACCGTCTTTGTGCACTTTGTTTACGGAGCCGTATGTGATGGTGGAGAAGCATGGAGGCATGCAACGCTGCTCTGAGCAGCAGCAGAGTGAGAACAAGGCAAGTCCATGTCAGCAGAATAAGATCTGAAATGCAGCACACCGACAGAGGGAGAGAGAGGGAGAGAGAGCGAGAGAGAGCGAGAGAGGGAGGGAGAGTTACAGAGAGAGTGGAGGCTCCATTTCAAGTCCTCCATGGTGAGTGCGAGTTGAGGCGATCAGGCGGCTGGTGATTATTATTTTTTTCAAGTCATGCTGTCATCAAAGATGGAGGCAAACACACCACAGGCACATGAAAGGCAAACCCTCAGTCTCTCTCACCTGACCACACACCCTCATACACAAAACACACACACACACACACACACACAGCCTTTCATAAGGTATCAGAAACAAAATGAAACCACAGAGCACATGACAAAGCTGCCCAATAGGTTGCCTGTTGCGTAATGATTCCCACAGTGACCACACTGAAAGATGAGGCTTCGGTAGATGACACTCAGGACCAAGAGAGATGAAACGGCGTCACACAACAAGAGACATCTACAGAAAGATGAAATTCTTGCTGTCACATCAGTTTTTGCACTACTGCTTTTTTTGAGGTTAGCCATAATGTTTTTTGTGCATCTTTGCTTTAAGACAAAGTAAGTAAAGTTTGTGTTATTCGCTCATCTGCTAATAGTGAGAACAAAGTGACACTACACTGGTGAAAGCAGAGACTCTACAGGAGGGAGTGGAGGTGGCAGACGCAGGGCGGAGGAGGTGACGGAGAGTGAGGGGTTACTGGACAACAATTAGAAGGACAAGTCACTGAGGTCACCAGATGCAGCAGCATGGGGCTACAGTGACTGTGTATCACATTGTAAACTTGAATCGTTGGTAAATCTTGTGCAGATGTCTCTAAAATATATTAGATAACTGTCAGGCAGGCCTAAGTAGGTTTAAGAGCTGTGACTGAAACCCGAGACGGCCATACGGTCCCTGTCTCGCCCCGTCACACTGCAGCCACCATGAAATCAGTGACTGTTCCTTCTTTGTGTCTCCGAGTGTGCCGATGAGAGGGAGAGGAGGCGGAGGAAGGCTAGCGTGTGGCGGCTAACGGTGAAGTCTTACACATGGAGCGCCGGTAGATGGCCTTGGCCTTGTCTTTGTCCTTGGATCTGTTCCTCATGAAAGGCAACCTTTTTAAAGCTGTCGAGAGCGCAGCCAGAGACAGACGGACGGACAGCCAGGGGAGAGAGAGAGAGAGCGATAGAACGAGCCCGGGTGAGGTGGAGGAAAAGAAAAACAAAAGAAAAAGGACAGAGGGCAGAACAGAGGGATGTGGTTAATGTTCTCACAAAGAGAGCCAGGGGGGAGATGCAGAGAGAGAGAGTTGAGCCCCTGGACACTCAACCGGACAATAGACAAACAATGCAATAGACACAAACACTACAATACATGACTCAGAACTCGGGGTGGATCACATTATTACGAAGCATATTTGATTTATCATTAAGGTGTTTTAAATCCATAAAAATACACTTCCTTCTTAGTATTTCATGGAAATACTGTTTATATAATATATCAGCAATGCTAGATAAATGTAATGGACTTATAGAGCATTATTATAAATATATAAATTATAATTCAGTCTCCATTTATAATATGTAAATGCTTGTTCAAGAGCTTTTTGGATGGACTGAAATGCCTCCCACACACGTCTTTAAATCCTGAATAATAGGTTTAAGGGCAGACTTCTGTACAGAGACACGTTATGCAAACAAACATTATTCAAATACACAAACACACTAAAGCACATTTTATCTGCACACAACACACACAAGCCACTCTCTCGTGTTAATGGTCATGACTCATGAGCGTCGTATTCTGCATTACATACGGTACACAAAAACACAACTGTCAACACATTACCACCGACATGAAACACGGAGGATGAAGAATATTAAATGGTGCAATCAGGAGAATGAAAAGGTCAGAGGGCAGCATCAGGGAGGACTGCAGTGTTTCCATAGACATAACTAACTTTACTTGATCATAGCTTAACTGGGTGTGTTAGAGTTCACTCACTTATTATACTAGCTTTTTTATACTGATAATTCGATGATGTAACCCTACTAGCCCATGTACAACCTGTATCCTTTATTGCATTTTTTCTACCAAATCCAGACAACCAGGATTTTGACTTGCATCGACTGAAAGTCAGCCACAATGCATTGCACCTTTTAATAGCTTGGATGCTACGCTAGAGGGCGATTCTTTGTTATTTACAGGTGAACTGCACAGATCAGCAGGTTGACATTCTGTCGCTGCGAGCTAATGAGCCTCAGAGCTGTTGGGGAGAAGTAAAGAGTGTTTGAACCACATGAGATGCGCTTGATTCTTGACATCCAAACACTGTTGAAAGAGTACTCCTCTGATTTAGCGCCGCAATCCACATGCTCTACTTCCCTGCCAAACCTGGCTCCTACATTACCCACAATGCAAATCAACTGCAGACAGGTCGAAGAGTCAGTCTTGTTATGTTAGAAGCCGCTAATGTAGCCTCGAGCTGCTAGCCTCAAGCAGAGATGAGGAGCTGGCTAAAGAGGCCAGTAAGATCACTTCTTTCTAACTCCACACCACCACATTTTCAAACTTGTAGTCATCTGCCCTAATGCTGAATATAGTGACATAAAGTAAAGCAATGTATCAGATTTCACACAGGTCCCACTGGAGCCACTAAAGGCTTTCTCACATATGCAGACCCGTAAACAGACCCTGATGTGTTAAAGTGGTGGAGTCCCCTTTTACAATTGAGTGTAACTAACCAATACACACTATTCTTAGGACTAAAATTAAGTGTTTAATGGTCGTGTTACATAATAACATAAGGCTACAGAAATCAAGCGCACCCACTGTTCAAACACAGGAAATGCCTCCACTTCTGGAGATTGAGAGTCAACCTTGCGGTGCTGCACAGCTCAACCGTAACCTCCAGGACATCTGAGTGAAACAGACAATGGACTCACACAAACATGCCCTGTGAGACGTAACAGTCGGGTCACAAACCCCGCCCTCCCTCCCCATCCGCACCATACCATTGGTGGAACCCTGCACCTGGGCATTGGGCTGCTGCCCTCTCCTCCCTTTGCAGAGAGAGAGAGAGAGAGAAGATAAAGAAGCAAAGGAGCAGTTAGGGGAGGAAAGACCCATTCAACCACTCAACCAGTACACAACTGTACAAACCAACACACACCAAGTGCTTTGTGACGTATTATTATGCGTCTGTGAAAGACTATTCAGCATATATCCAACTAGTTGGTAACTATTTTGCTCACAGCTTTCTTAATATGTGCCTTTGTGTATGAAATATAGTGTGAGTATTTGATCAGAGGTACTTTTATGGTGCATTGTTTGGTCGGGTAAGTGTTTGTTTCTATAGGTCTTTATCTTGAGCAATGCGAGACAAGTTGCTTCTGATTCTTGGGTCTACATCTGTGTGTGTGTGTGTGTGTGTGTGTGTGTGTGTGTGTGTTTTTTCTTTGTACTCACTGCTGCTCCTCTTTTGTGTCAGTGTGTCGTCCAGCGAGTTGGAGCCAGAGCCTATGGACGAGCTGTCCTGGCTGTCCTGGGGAAACATCAGGAAGCCGTCACCAGACTCTGAACGAGAGGGGGTCAGCGTGAGGGAGCGCATCCTCTCCCGGCTCTTTGGCTTGATCAACTTCCTCATCTTCAAAGTGATCCAGTTGCCACGCCTACAAAAGGAGAGACGAGGCCGTGAGTGAGACGGAGAGACCATCGGGAACAAGAGGAGGAAAGAAACTAGAATTCAGCCATTTTTACGTTGCGATGTTACCAGTCATGATCATGTCATTGACACAAAATAGCTTAACCGATCTCAAAAATATTTTTTTACTCATGTAACTAGATGAAGCAGGTTTTTTTTACCTGCGTGGAGGTGAGGGGTCGTAGAACTTGTACTGGTCCATGATCTTCTCCTCCAGCTTCTCCTTCTGTCTCCTCAGCTCATTCAGCTTGTCTCTGATTGGTGGAGAATTAAGAGATGATCGACCAAGACAGACAAGAACGAAGATGCATGCAATGCAAATATAAATGCAAACAATTTGTTTTGAATATCCCATAATCAAACATAAATAATTGCGGCGAGGGACATGGTTGCTGTCCGTTTTTAAAAAGGAAACTTATCAGAGGTTTACATGTATTGTCTTTGCTCTACGTGGTACAGGTCCTTGCTCTCCATGGTCTGCTCCAACAGAGTGCGATTCTGTAGCATCAGAGTCTGGATCTGGTCCAACAGGTGGCGATTCTCCTCCTCCAGGTTTCCTTTCAGCTGGCTCAACAACTAACACACAGACATCGATAGATATATCAAAGAGATGCTAAGGCGCCTGGCTTAACAACAAATATGATTCATCAAAAGGGGTGAACCATCCACAACACAGCTGGCTTAAGAAGTCGTCTCTACAAATATGACACATTAAAAGAGGTTAACCCGCCAAAGGACAGCTGGCTTTCAAAGTAGCACACATAACACGTAATGGGAAATTACAGAGAAGATAAGATAAATGGGCGTCTCCTCACCTCGCACTGATTGGTGAGCTTGGTGGAGGTGATGTCCAGCTGCTGGTACTGCTCCCTCAGTTTAGAGAACTCGGCCTCCAGCTTGGTCTGGTCCAGCTTGGCGCTGTTCAGCTGGGTCTTCACGGTCTTATGGTCCAGCTGGAGATTGTCATTGTCCTTCACCAGTTGACGATGGGTATTATTCAGCCTGAGGAGAGGGCAGAAGGATTCCTAAATATATAGATGCATGTGAAAGGGGCTTTTCATAGAAACATATGGTGTAATTTAAGGAAAATATCACTTTGTTAAAATGTTGTAATATGTCTTATTCATACATTTGAATAGTGTTTAAGGTAAAAATAAATATTGATACAGGTTGAGCTGACCTATCATTTTCTTCTTTGAGCAGTTTGTACTGGTCAGCTGTGGATCGGTGCGTTTGAATCTCTAGCGCCATTCTTTCCTGCTGCTCCTTCAGATTTCTCTCCAGATCCTCCAGGTCTCCCTTCCTCTGCAAGAGCTGCTTGTACCTGCATGCATAAATTAACACACATTAAAAAATGCTCAATCAGCTCATAAAGACAAATATTTAAGTAAGACAAGAAGGAATACAAAGCACATGTATTATTATTATTATCCAAAGGGGACCTACAGTTTCCCCTAGTTGCTCAGCATGGTTGTTTTTGTGATTGTTTAATACTGACCTCATAAGACAATGTTTAAAAGGCCAAAGTAGTGTCTAAAGCTACGAGACTTAAACTGTAATTAGACGTGCCCATCCCATGCTCCTAAACCCAGCCTCACTTGTCCTCCAGGTCCCTGTGCTGCTGCTCCAGGCTCTTGTGGGAGCCCTTCAGATCCCCATGCTTTCCGATCAGGGCTTCATACTCGGCCGCCTGCCTCTCGTGGAGCGCCGCCAGCTTCTCGTGATCGCGGAGGAGCAGCTCGTAGGTGGACCTCAGCTCCTCTTTGTCCTTCAGGGCTCCCTCGCGTTCACCCTCCACGCTGCTCTGCTGGCTCTGCAACTGGGCGTTCTGGGCCATGAGGGCTGCACTCTTGGAGCTCAGGGTGGAGTTCTCCACCTGCAGGACAGGGCAAGGACAGGGCAAAGAGAGATATTAGATTAAAATAAGTTTTGTTATTATTATTGTGATCTGTGACATGTACTGGGCTCTTTAAATCAAGCATCAGAGGACTTGTGTGTAATGTAAGTAGAGGTTGTTGCTGTTTTTGTCTACAGAGGGCACTGTGTCTCTGTTCAGTTTGTTCTCCCCCTTTGTAAACTCTATCTATACAACATCAGCAGGAAAACTGTTTCTTTTCAAGTTTCCTTTGTGGTCACGACGGTTTCCTGGTCTCAAGCCCCTCTTCAATCATGACTAACGTGTGTACTGACACACACACACACACACACACACACACACACACACACACACAGCACCTGGACATAATGTGTGTGTGACACTCTTTCTGTACCTTTAAACAGTGACAGCTTTTCAACGCCAGTACACACACATCAAGAGAGACACACCCACAGAGACAGCTAGACGCTACTGGATGGTCAGTATAAATCCTGTCGCCCATAAGCAGGGTTTGAAGTGCTGCTAAACAGGGAGTCCAAGTCTAAATCCATACAGGGAGCTCAGCAGCCTGGCAAGGCAACTGCACAAACGGAGCAATGTTGAAAGAAGGCGGAATAGCTTCTCTGTTGTTTTGCATGACATACATTGTTCAATATATCACATTATGATGTGCGTTTGATATCTTGATGTAAAATCTACTCGTCCGTTATCCTTTTCTGTATCAACTGAGTGTTTCTACCAAAGATTGTGGTCTATAGTGTCTTGTGAGTGTGAGGCAGATTATTTTAGCAGTAATATGAACTTGTTACAGTCTGCCCACATTCGTGGATTTGAGTTGGATACAAATCTGTATTAATTACATGTGTAACTGATTTCTTTTCTGCATGTGTAGTGTAATCCTCTGCGAGGAACAGTCATCCACAGCCTACTGGACACTGCATCGTGTAGAATGTGTGAAGGATTACCTGCAGCTTGGCGTTCTGCGTTTGTAGTGACGTATTGTTCTCCTGTAATGAAGCGGTCTGTCTCTGCACGGCCACGATCTGAGCCTGCAGGTTGGAGCTTTGAGTTTCCAGTTGTTTGAGCTGGCACCTCAGGGCCGCCTTCTCAGCCTGCAGCGTGGCATTCTGGGGAAAAGGGATGCATAATATAAAGATATTGGATAAACAACAACACACAACCCAAAACCATACATTTTTGGAAAAGTCACACAATACATCCTGATATTGTGCTAACTTACATTCCTCTCCACCTCAATGAGTCTGTCTTTGACTTTCAGCAGTTCTCTGGTGGCTTCATGACTTTCTTTCTCCCATTTACCGAAAGCCTGAGGGTTCTCCCCTCCCCTAGGGGGCGAGCTCTGCACCATCCTCTCCTCCTCCTCCCTCTGACGCAGCGCCTCATAGTTTTTCTTCACCTGGAGAGAGACACGCGAGTCAACACATAACTCAGTGTTTTTTTGTGCTCCTTCAGTACAATAAAACATAAATATCATGTGAATCCCAGACAGCTGGAAAATACTGCTCCAGGCTCAACAGTAAAAATACTAAAAGATAAAAGGAGACTACATTAGTAGAACATGGCATGAGTAATGAGTACAGCAGCAGACATGATCCATTATAGGTTCACAGCTGAAACTCAGAGGTCATCTACAGAGGCTTCAACTTTTCCACTCAGACCTTTAGCTTTGATTCAAAACATACGCCACCCTAAAGGAAAGCAGACATACTCCGCTCCATCTCGTTCACAGACTGCTGCCGCCTCATGAATAGATAAACTGGCGATATAAGTGGAAGAGTGGACGAATAAATAATGTATCGCCCTTGAGAAGCCCTCAGTGTTTTCAGTGTTTTGGACTGCAGCGCAAATATTTTGGCGTTTTTTGGCTTCGTGGGAGGAATGTGATTTTCTACTGGCTCCTCTGTACTGTGGTTGAGCTAAGCTTCTGCATGCAGCACATCCAACATGTACTTCTACGTTTAACAGTATGGATCTGTGCATGTGTTACTGACTGTCTTGAGCTCCTGGCGTAGCTGCTGGTTGAGGTTGGAGGACTCCTGCAGTCTGGCCTCTAGGGCGGCGATCTTCTCCTCTTTAATCTCCAAAGATGATTTTAGAGTCGACTCCAGTCTGGTTTCCAGGAGCCTAAACCTGAAAATAAATACTCAAGTTAGCTCTGTGTGTGCATTTGCGTCTTCGGTCTAGAGTGTGATCACACATTTGTAATCCTAAACACAGCTAATGCATTATCATCGTCAGTGCCACAGCACAGCAAGGCCAACTGACTTCTTGGCAAAGAGTGTAGCAGGTGTGGGAGATATCGGCTCAGAAAACTCCCACAGGATGATTCTTCAATAGACTCAGAATGGTTAAAACTTCAACACCTGATTTAAAATGGGCCACCTTGGGGACTTATTTGGACTGTACTGAGTTCTTATTTTAGCTCCGAGTTCTCCGTTTTAAGAGCCATCACAGAACAGTGAACTTTGCGGTTTGTGTGTCTTTGTGAAATGATACCTGTCGCTAGAGCTCTCGTCATTCAGCAGCCTCTCTTTGTTCAGTCCAATCTTCTCCAACTCATGGGTCAGTTTGTCCAGATCATTATTCATCTGCTGAGTCCGCAGCTTCTCACTCACAAGCTCCTAAACACACGCACACAGTTATTCATCAATACACTTCCTGCACCAACAAAAGATGACGACGGATAAATCTGGAAGCCTGTGAAGCGAAGTCTCAAGACATGTTGGAATAACTGTTGTTTGCAGACTTCTATTCTTACCTCTCGGAGTGCGTTGAGGGTCTTCTTGTCAATGGTGCTCAGTTTGACCAGCTCCTTGTTCTCTCTCTCCAGGTCTTTGACTCTGGTGCAGGAGTCCCTGAAGAAGATCATCTCCTTGCCCATGGTCCGGTTCTCTTTCTCCAAGGTGGAGATGCGCTGGTTGTCGTCGTCCAGCTTGGAGTCGCGGATCTCGGCCTGCTGCCTCAGCCGCTTGTTCTCCTTCTCCAGGAACTTCTTGTCTTTCTCTAGCTGGGAGCTTTCCTGCTCCAGAACCTTGTTCTGTGGGATAACAGGACGCAATGCAGAGCAGACGGCTAAAACATGATTTGGTGGAATTTACTCTTAGTCTCTCTTAGCCTTGTAAATACATGTTTGGCAAAAAGGGCCAAAAATCAAATTTTGCCAAATAATCTGGGGTAATCCAACTCTGCTGGGTAACGCGTTGCAGTTTTATCAGAAGGAACTAAATGAGTGGCGGTGCTGCTCAAGTTCCAAATTTTCACATTATTTATTTTAACACACAATATTCTTCAGACTGCTGCATCACAAAGACACTCTTCCGTCAGCCTCAACTACAATTTCGGGCCAATCTGATTGACCTCATTCTGCCAGGCAGAACCAATCCATCCCCAAAAAAAGTCACAGAAGCTGTTTCAGTAAAACCCGTACAGCTATCCAAATTGATGATCTTGTTCTGCTCCAGAGAAGAGTGCAGTCCAAAAATCTGTATACTTTTTTTTAACAGACTCAAAATTCTGTTGCAAGTGAAACAGTTTATTTTCCTACCTCCTGTTCCAGCTGCTCCAGGCGTTTACTGGAGATCTTGAGCTCCTCCAGGTTGCGTTGGAGGGTTTGATTCTCAGTCTCCACCTCTTGCAGCTCTTCCTCCAACTGTTGAATCTTTTTGCTGCTGTTCTCTAAAGACTTCTGCAGGCGCTGGTTCTCTGTATCTAGGCCCTGGTAACTCATCTGGGACAGGAAAAGCCAGATTAGGATATTAAAAGCATCCATGAACTAGTTGCGCTGCTCCCTGATGCCATCATATGCCCGATCCCCTGCAACCTACCTGTAAAAATGTTCATCTATGATAATAAAGGTGCCATTACCTCTACAGCTGTTCCGCACATCACAAGTTGTCTCTGTTAAGGACCATTTAACTCACACTGGTGCCGTTTAAACACTTTAACTAGCAGTAGTCTGCTTTTTATTTCTCAAAGAAAGCTTTTTGCCGTTCATGGTTACATTTTAGCTCCGTCTTATTGCTCTCTAATAACAGAAGTACTCGCTGTATGACTGGCATTTGCTGAAGTTTTACCTCTAATCTCTCCGTCTTTTTGGACGAGGCTCTGAGCAGTTCCATGCTGCGCTTCAAATGGCTCCTCTCACTCTCCAGCTCCCTGTTCTCGGCCTCCAGCTGAGCGGCCTTAGCGCCCGCTGACCGGAGACTCTCAGCCGAGCGCCGAAGTTCCAGGTTTTCATACTCCAGCTGGGAGTTCTCCTTTTCCAGAGCCTCCAGCTGGAAGGCCATGTTCTTCAGAGTGTCCAGCTTCTTCTTCAGACGACGGCCCTCCGCCTCCAGATCCGTGTTCTCCTTCTCCAAAGAAGACACCTACACGTACACAAGGGATGATTAAAGATGAGGAGTCGAGTGTTTCTGTCTGACAACACCAAGTTAATCCTGATAGTGTTGTGTAATGGCGGCCCAAAACTCTCTACTGTACTTTATTGGCACAGCTTCAAATGTATTAGAAAATAATGCTTTAATGTTACATATAAAGGCATTACATATTTTGCAGTAATTTCTCATGTCACAGCTACATTTACCTAATTGATTTGGAGAGCAACTAACATGGAACAGAGGCTATTGAAGTTGGACCATCTGGGGAAACTTGCTCTGACTGACTAACGGAGCATACAGACACGCCGTCATCGCAAACTACAAACCAGGTAGAAAACTAAATGCACCAGACCTTTTCACAGGTGATTCCAAGACTGGCTACTTTCTTCTGCAGGCTCTCATTGTCCCTTTCCAGCTTCTGCATCAGAACCTCCAACTCTTCAGCTCGCTCACCTTTCTCCTTCACCACTTCAAGCTCCTTACCTGCATTAGAAAATACAGAAGGCACAACCAGAACGTTAATCATGTGAATTCAAAATGAAAGAAAACAAGGAAGTTAATGAAAAGAAAACTGTCAAAATACTGATTCCAATGAACCACAGAAACAGTTAAAAAGCGCGTCACTTACGAAGCTGTTTCCTTTCAAACTCGATCTTATTGAGTTTGGCGGTTGTCTCGCAGATGGACTCGTGGAGAATGCGATTCTCTTTCTCCACATCCTTGACCCGGGCCTCAGTACCAACCTGGCAGCGCTGGCGCAGAGACGACACCGTCTGGCTCAAGTGCTTGTTCTCCTGCTCCAGACCCTTCAGCTGGAAAACAGATATCAGAGTTTTAAAGACAGCGTTTATAACCAACTGGATCAAATTGAACACAGTAATCTGTGAGTGCAGCTCGTCGTGTTTTCTCTGGCTCATCAAAGCTGGATTTTACAAATCAGACGGTTAAACTAATTAAAGGTGTCAGATTCGGGTCTAACAGCTACAAAGTCCTTGCAGACACAGAGAGAGGCTGAATCCGGGCCACAGAGTACCAGAAATCTCTGTAGTCAATAAAACATAGCGGCAGTTCCACCTAATAGTTCTTTCAGCCAAATGCAAATCAATTGCACAAAGATTGCTCTCAAAAGAACTCCGTATAGACTTTAGTAAATTGCACAGCTTAGTCATGTTCTTGGAGCTTCCTGGAACGAGAATCAATGATGGTTTTGTGGAGAGAGCAGCATCTATGACGCACAGTCTCAAAGCTCCGTTTGTCTGAATGTGTTGGTGCATCCGACCATAAGCTTGTCCAGGATACAGACTGTAACGTTAACGATATTCCAAAGCACATGAATGCTTGATGTGATTACAGTCGCTCTCAGAACAGTCGGTCTGTATAAGATATTAGGTTTACTGCACTTACTTGTTCTGCACAATGAGTGAATTCAGGAAAAATGCCATTCAAGTAATTTATCACTCAGAAGATTTAATACACATACATAAGGGTGTGAATCTTTTGCAATCTAAAACGATTCTCGATTCAGTACATAGGTTCAGGACCTACGCCGGTCCGCTGTGCGCAATAAAGGCAGTGTGACAAATGATGTCATAAAAGCAGAGTTAGGTGGGAATAAGATTGTTTTTTAATGTTTTTATATATGAAAAAGTTTTATAAACTAATTGCAATAATGTAAGCACACAGAATGAAACATCTATTCATGCTAAACTTGCACAAATAAACACGTTTTACTAAAAGGTTTACTATTTCTAAATTAATATCGATTTCAAGTATACCAAGTTCAAGTTATACAAAAAAAATTAAATGCAGCCTGTTACATAAATACAATTATTTTATTTCTCAGAGATTTGCCATTTTCAAAACTAAAAAGTTATAGTTTTGGGATAAGCTTCCCAAATTAAATCTGTGTGTGTGTGTGTGTGTGTGTGAGTGAGTGAGTGAGTGAGAGTGTGTGTGTGTGCATACCTGTCTCTCAGAGTTCTCTCTGAGTGTTTCCAGAGTCTTCTCCAGTAAAGCCTTTTCCTTCATTAGGTCAGTACTGAGTGACTCCGCACTGCGGAGCGACTCTCTGTCTGTTGTCAGTTCACTCCCCAACTGCTCCAACTGTAAACAATGTCAACGTAACATTTTAAGAAGACACAAACTATCTCGATTGGGATTTAATGTCCGTGACGAACAGTGATGGTGGCTCTGTAACAAATGAATCATATATTTCTAATATAATATGTGATTCCCAGTCACAAAGAAGCCGGTGCAATTATTAGTCCACGATACAAATATATAATGCATCACCTCATTCTGTCACAGCTCTGCAGAAAATCGCACACAAGTTAATGTATGGACACACTCTACCAGGAGCTGCATTCACATTTTAATGTGTTTTGGCTCTAAACCTCAAGTCACTTGGAAATAAATTTCCCACTTTGGATTTTCCCTTTGTGAGAGAGAAACACAATTTCATGCTTTTTATTCAGAGGGCACAGAGAGAGAGGCTTATGTTTCTGAAAATAGCTGAGACACGTCTCTTAGCGAGGGGCGTTTGGGTGTCAAAGACTGGAGAGAAAAGGCAATGCAGGGGTTGTGTGGATTTACAGCTTTGCTTTCATCCTCCTATCCACCCCTCTCTATACTCTCTCCCTCTTTCTCTTTCTATTTGTCACTATCGCTGCGTGAAAAACCCTAAAGCCAAGTGTTGGGGTGATATATTATGGAAGAGTGCCGGTCCAATATGCTAATCATGGTGGTGACCGTGATGAGGGGCAGAAAATTAAACTGTAATTCCAACCGATGCCGTGAAGTGAAATGTAAAAAAAACAAAAAAACAATGAAGCCCTGGGATACCCCACAAAAGAATAGTATCAAAAAATACTTTGGACTGATACAGTATCAGATATCATATTAGTATGCTAATGACATTTCTCCAGAAAAAATGAATAGGAAATTATTAAGAACTTTCAACCACAGAAAAAAAACACTGAAATACACAGTCCGGCTTACTTTCTGGTTCAGTCTGTGGTTTTCCTGGTTGATTTTTGCCAGTTTTGTCACAGTGTCCTGACTGGCGGCTCCTCTGAGCTCCTCCACAGTCTTCAGCAGGGTCTGGTTTTCTTTCTCCAGCTTCAACAGACGGCTGGAGGTCAGCTCATTCACCTCCTCACCCAGAGACTTCTGAGGGGCTGAGTCAATGACAGCAAGAAAATGTGGATTATACATCAACAATTTAACAAATACGAAATAATTAAATCAATGTTTGGTTTAGATTTTTGGTGTCAAAACCACAGTCCATCAAAAAATAAATAAATACACAGCCCCTGGGACCAACTTCAGAGGTCTTAAAGCTTTTAAAGTGCCATTTTAACAAACACACAACATAAAGTCTTTATCCAGATCCCTGGCTAGTTAAACCTCTTAACAGCTTTTATAATCCAAATGCACAGATTACCCTCCAAGAGCCACTGAATATTAATTACAGGTCTTAATCAAGTGGAAGGAAAACCCAGTGGAGGCCGGCAAATGCCGAAGGGCCATGGGGATGACGCCAGGGCAAAGAGCCAATGAGCAAAGCCGGGTCTGTCGGCCTTCTGAAGCCTTCAAGCTGGTCAAATCAGGTGACTGTCAGCTGCAAGATACTTTGCTTCATCTTCTTCTTACCGTCAGTCAGTTCTGGTGTCTTGGATAGTTGCTCCAGTTCCCAGCCCAGATGCACGGACTCATCCATGCTCTGTTTCTGGGCCATCTCAAGCACAAGGTTCTCCTCCATCAGCTCCTCCATACGTTTACGGTCCATGTCCCTCTCCTGGAGATAATAGAGATGGACGGTGTGTTGCGATAAACAAATGCTCAACACTTGAGTGCTTGTCTAGCTCTAAGACTCATCACACTGATCTATAAATCATCTCACCATCTCCAGGTCATGCATCTTGGATTTGAGCTGCAGACTCTCTTTCTCCAGGAGGTGCAGTTTGTCAGAGCGTGTCCGGCTCGCATCCAGCTGCTCCTCCAACATGCTCTTAGTCTCCAACAGGACCTGGTTGTCCTCCTTCAACTCCTACAGAAACCACCACATCAACAGAGAATGCAAGTTAAACAACAAAACATAAACACTGGAGCCAGTGCAAGAAACATGTTTGTCTTCTTCATAAAATGTATATTATTAAAAGTATGAGCAGAAATGGAAATAAATTTTACATTTGTAAAAGGTTGGCACCAAATACTAAGGTGTCTAAAATAACATTGAGTGAAATATACAAATATTCACTTGATATTAACATGGTGTAGATACTATGTATGTATGGCGAGCAAACAGTTGCAAATACCCCTGTAATTCAATACATCAATTTACAGTACATTTTTTTTTATTCCTGAAAAACACTAGCATCATGAGATTATGCTGCATGGACAGTCATTGGGACCTTTTATATGGGTCACATGTTGCTTGCGTTCACAACATGGCCAGTTGGAACTAAAATGATGAAGTCATGTTTATGTTTTAGCAACAGCTAGTTCCTTTAATGTCAGCAACCCGATGCTAAATTATCCCCGGGGTGTCTTTTACCAAACACTGTCATCGTGGCTTGAAGTAACGCTCTGAGTGGGCAGTCGTGTACCTCGACTCTGGCCTTGTAAAAATCAATGTCGTGAAGTCTCTCCTTGTATCGGCTCAGCTCGCTCTCCAGTTTGTCGACACGGATTGCTTTCTCTCTGAGTGCGTCCAGCTCGTCACGGTACGCCCGCGCCGATCGAGCGTCCGACACCAACTGGTAGCTCTGCAGGAGTTGACAGCCAAATATGTAGAGCATAAATATGTGGATATGCACATCTCTAGATGAGGAATCACGTGAACAAAGATGTGAACAGATATACAATCATGAATCAAAAGCTACAGTCAGTGGACTGTAATCTTGTATGACAGACTGTTATTTATTCACAGATAATCTACCAAAGGCTCGGCTGTTACATAAACGGATAAAGAACAGAACAAACTCTACACACTATCAATTACCACAGGCACGCAGACACCTACACGTCCTCCGTGCCCTGAACTTATCCACCTTGTTTACAGCATTTAGTTTGTCAGCCTGCTGCCCACTTCAAAATCAAAAGCCGTGCGAGGCTGTTGCTAGACTAAAGATAGCTCTAATAGCCTGTAATGAGCTAAGTCACTAGCTAGCTGATTAAAGTCTGGCAGCGCTGCAGACATAAAGTACTGAACAAAGAGGAGGGAGCAGCAGGTGACGGGGGGATGAAGTCATATGAATGTTTGTGTGCATGTAGGTGTGTGAGGGATCACCGTGACTACGTTGCGTTACCTCTTGCTGAAACCTCTTGAGCTCCACTTCCATGTTGTCAAGCTCCTGCCTGGTGTCCAAAAGCTGCTCACTCTTCTCCTCTCTGAAAAAAGAGAGCGGGAGGGAGAGGAGTTAAACAAGGAGAGCGTGGGAAAAAAGGTCACAGGATGTAACCTAGAAAGAGGAAGGACAAAAAAGGCAAGAAAAATAGGATGTTTTGTGTCTCTGCTTCTGTGATAAACATTAAACTGTACAGTGACAATCACGGGCCACATTAACAAGGGCATTCCTTTAGGGCTGTTTCCATTTCACAGCTTGCAGCTAAATCGTTTAATGGTAGCAGCCTATTGACATACTAACACAGAAATATCACATTTTACATAACCTGCCTAAAAAGCTTCACCATCTTAACTTAACTTTTAAGTATTTTAGTTTCAGTCGGTAGGCATTTTGATAATAAATTTGGTTGTTTCCGTAAACGATTGCTGTTAATAATGCAAGACTATGGAGTTTAAGCATCATTTTTAACTGAAGAGTGAACTAAAGACTCAACTAAAAATATTTAAAAGCAATCCTACTTTTCTAAGTGGAGGCCATTGAGTCGGTACATTTCACTAAATTTCTAAATTTGATAAGATTAAGTATTGAGGCTACTGAAATCTTAAACTGTACTGTTAGCATTCAAACATAGCATACGCAACATCCCGTTAGGCATAATAGGCCTTTGTTGAAAGACAAAAATATAAAATTCACATGTTGATTTCAAGACATCAATAAACCAAATAACCCATTCTCTTGTGTAAAAATAGCCTATTGTGTCCGATGCGTCTGAGCTGTGATGGTCATGACATCATGTCTTTCCTGTGTCCTGCCTTGAATTCAGCTAATAATAAACAGCCTTCTTCATCACACTCAGCATAACACACAATGACAAACAGTGAGGGGAAAGACAGCGATAATAAAAACTGAAGAAAGGTCAGAGTCCTGTGACTACTTCAGGGGTAAAGATACTCTGGAGAATCCTCTACAACAGAGAAGATCAGAGAAGGAGAGAAGAAAGTTTTACATCCGATTGCGCAAGTGTTGCAAAACATAGAATTAAATGAGTCACTCTTTCACCCTCAATAGCAGGGTCTCACTCTCCTGTATCCATATGTTTAAGTGACAGCGAATACGGCAGCCTGACATTTGCCGTCTATGCGAGTGTGTGTGTGCGTGCGTGCGTAAATTCTCCCGGCTCCTTCCAACCATCGAGGGAGAATGTGTCACACTGCTTTGAAGGAAAACGACTGCATTCCTGAGATGCTCTCTCTGTCTGTGTGTGTGTSTGTGTGTGTGTGTGTGTGTGTGTGTGTGTGTGTGTGTGTGTGTAACTCCAACACTGAACATCTGATGGCCTACAGCCATTGACTACAGCTCTCTGGAGACTCAGGTTGCATCTCAATAAGCAAAAGACATCCTTCTTTTCTTTCATTTATCTCCTTCCTTACACAGTTAACGTTATTTGGAAAGTATGAGTCGACATGCAGGCAGGATTTTCCTTTACCCAGTTCTGTTTTTGTTTCATCAGTTAACCCCCTCCTGCATCCTGCAGCCCCCTGTCCTACGATCACAAACACCTGTCAACCTTAGAATGGAAGATTAGCTGTGGGCTCATATTATGGATGCAGCTGGCTCTGCCGCTTATGTTAATGGTTTAACACGAGCTGCATCTGCGCACGCACAGACACAAACACTTGTATGCACTGCTGTCTTTGAAAAGCCAAGAAACAAAGGCAACCTTTTCCAGGCCACTCCATGTCTGACTGGTAGTCTTCCTCATCCTCATTTTAATATTTCCATAACCCTACATTTGTAATACTTTTGAACTGTTTCTTCACTATAATAGCATGCCAAGGAACAAATCTCTCTGACTGTGCTGAGAAACTAAAACAGGTACAATACATTTATATTCAAAGCTAACACAGGACCTTTAGAGGTAAATGAATGGAAGCAGTATGAAATACGTTTTTGGCCTGGGAATCAGGTTAACACTCACGCTGAAGAATAGCATCTCCAAATATGACCCTAACTGTGTTTCATAGTGTAGGTATAAACTCAGTGTGTGTGTGAGCTTGAACAGGAGGAGGGAAAGCAGCAGCTTTATCTAACATATTAACAAACAGACCACTGAACCATTCATCCCCCCCCTGGCTCTAACCTGGTCTCCTTCTGACACACACAAACAACCCTAAACAGTGTAAACACAATTCTCCATTTGTATGCAGAGACACAATATTTGTCTATGTGCATGCAGCCAGACACAATAAACACTCCTCTGCCTGGGAGAAGAAACTGCATCATGTGAGCAGACTACATCAGCGTGCACTGACTTTAAGCCCTTTTTCCTTGTCTGGCCCATCACAACAACAAGTAACACCATGGCAACCAACAAACAAAATAACTCAATGGCATGTCGGGTGATGTTCTAAAGCCCTATTTAGGTCTACTGAAGAAATCATCATAATGTAGGTCAAGGATGTATAAGAGATGTCTACTGTGATGAATGTCAGACCTTTTCAGCACACAAACGAGTTAAGACTCAAGGAAAGAGGCTTCTCAGTGTTCGTGTGACCAAGCAGAGGGTGAGCTGCATTCCGAGTTACAACCAATTGTTAAAGAACAATAAAGTCAAATAGACAATGGCATGTGTGTGGGCTGAATGCAAAGGAGACAGAAAAAGATCTCCTGCAAACTACAGGGGCAGAATGACTCAGCATTCAAATACGATCAAAGGCATTTTCCAAATCATTAGGATCGCTAGGAGATACAATGATCACGATAACTTGTTGAAATACGTTTTTCAACGTGCTAAGGTGATAAACATTCTTCTACACTGGAAGTCAGATCCACTCAATCATGCAAATGATTCCCTTGAAGTAGGACCGACGCATTATCTGACATGACAGTCATTGAAATCTAATCCATGATTAGCTTAAGTGGGGATTTTAATCTTGAAAACAAAGAAAGTACACAATACCTCAGGTTCTGTCAAAGCATTCAGTAACAAAACAGACTTGAGGCCAGCCAGTCTGATAAATTAGATGTGATGTTTGTGGAACATTTAAATACTTCCCCTTGTCAGAAGGCGCTCCCTTTCTTCTGACTGGTCTGTGTTGACCATTAAGCTTTTGTCTGGCAAGGGATTATAGCACTTTAAAAAGGAAGCTCTATTATTCATAGGCAGAATTTAAAAGGCCAAACAATTATGCGTGTGTGTGTCTGTGTGGTGCAGTATGACCTCTTAACAGCCTGGTCTTATGTGAGTAATGGAGATGTAGGGAGGAAATGAACCGCTGGTCTCTATGATTCTTCCGCTCTGCATAGTCACCGTCTTTAAAGCATCCCGTTTGAGGCTCGGATGAAGTCATTAAAACTCATAACTACTAAGAGCATACACTCATAGGGCGCTCCCGTCAGGAATGTGATGAAGAATACCATTCTGCTTAAAGTATAGCCTTTCCATGACCTAAACATTTTAGAACTTCCTGATTTGTCAATATTGTTTAGTTAGAGGATGTAACCAGTCAGGTCTCCAAACAGATAGTAAATAAATGGTAAATAGTTAGGGTCTAATTCCAGCAAGTTATCCTTTTGTACATAGGTCTTGAGTTTGTCTCTGGCTAACTCTGGAGGTGTAGTTCCTGTTTTTCTGCATTCGATCACCTTTGACCAATCTCAGTATTTATTTTATATCTAGCTGATAAAGCCGTGGCACTCACAGTTCCTGTCGAAGGCGTCTGATCTTGGCCTTGGCATCGGCCAACTCCACAGAGAGGTGCTGACGGCTTTCGGTCCTCCTCATACTGGGAGAGTCACCGGGAGACTGGGTCGGACAGGGAGTCAGTGGAGACAGCTGCACACAGTCTCTCTCCTGGGTTAACTCCACTATAGTCTGCATGGAAAGAGGGAAAAAAGAAGAAGAATGGACAGGTAGTGAGATTTCTAGCTGTGTAGGTGAGTACAACAGTGCGTTAATAGAAGTCAGTTTTGACTTCTCAAAACCAGACTCAATAAGAGAACATACTACAAATAGTGTTAAAACAGAAATGTAATTTCTCATTTGTATTTAGGGGAACTAAGCATTATTGCTATGTCCTGAAACGGCAGCAGTTACAAGTAGAAGTCAACAATTGGACTAGCATTGACAACAAAGAGGAGAGTTGATCCATGGATTCACCCAAAGCACCCTGACTACCTAAAACTAGAACATAGGCAAGAGGGCAAAAAGTATACCCAAAGTCCCACACACAGCCGATTTTGATCTATTGCCCCAGAAAGGAAATGGGATTTTAATTGAGAGCGGCTGGACTACACAGTGATAATCTGGAGGCTATTAGAGCCCCCGACACACACACACAAAAAGATCGGCTATCATCTGCACCCTATGGGTTGGAAACTAATTCAATGACACATATACTCCAAGTAAAAAGCGCACACACACACACACGCACACACACACACACGAGACAGTTAACAGTTTCAACCCTTCCTTCCTGAGGCTGCTCTTTTGTGGCAACGTAAAAAAAGGGAAAAGTTTCCACATAACCCCGACTAGAAATAGCCCACCATTTTCACTATCACAGTTCTGTTCGAAGAACTGTAACAAACATCCAGAAAAACCCACCGCACGAAACCTCCCCCCACATACATAGAAAGAGAATATAAAAACACACAAACACACTCTTTACTAGTTTCCTGCATCGTCTATTGTACCCGTTTATTGCTGAGGTTGCTTTATTATTATTATTATATTAGCACACACACACACACACAAGTTATTACCTCCAGCTGTGTGTCCCTGTCATCCACCAGGCGTTTGAGGTGGAAAGCCAGGTTTCTGGAGAGGCTGTCCAGGTCCTCAGGAGGCATTTCCCCACTTTCCAACCACTGCAGGTCCACCACATTCTCCTGATTATGAGTCACCTAAAACCACAAACATTCATGACACTTTGTCAGACTTAGCAAAAGTTTAAAATGAACTATTCCACCATTAGCAAAGTGTACATTCGATGAGTGGTAACAAAGCTAAATGAGGTCTAGGAGATGAAATATCTTAATTGTCTCCATGCTTTGGTTTTCTATAGAGGAGAAATACCTCTTGGATGTGGGATGCTATGGAAGCTTTGGTGTCAAAGTCCAGAGTCTGGATACACTCGATGTACTCTTCCTTCTTCTCGCACTGTAAACAGAGGTGGGAAGAAGAGAAGAAGAAAGACATTGATAATGTTACAGTGTAAGGTGGGTCAGGCACCAACTGGAGGTTAATGGAGCGACATTGCAGATACGTGACAGACTGATCAGATATACATTTCCAGGAAGTTGTATTTAGGAACGAAGTCTAGTCTTCAAACGTGACTTTATCTTCTGGATAGATCAAAGATCATTTTCCTCTCTGGTTGGCAGAAGATGAGATAAGAACAAAACTCAGCACTACATATGTAAGCTCTTGTTCGCTGTGTGCTAATTTTTACTCCGCACCAGGTCTTTAATGTAAGCTTGAAGTAGACAGAATATTAAGTCAGAGTAACGCGCATGAATGCAACTATAGTGTCTTTTTGCTAAAACAATAGAGCGTGTGAAAGGTCTATGCCCTTGTCTGAATGCAATCAGAGCTGAATAGGGCTTTGTCTCAAGACAGGAAATCCATTAGATTAAAGCATTAGCTGTACAAAAGAGTTAAATCATTTTATCAAAAGGGAGCAAATGGCTGTTATCAAGGAAGGGTGAATCAAATGGAGACTGGCTTTGAAGTTAAGGTCCATACCAGAGCACGATTACTGCCTTCATAACTCCCTAGATGAACCGCACCAGAGTTTGATTAAAACGGACTAAATATTGGCTTTTGAAAGCGCCCTTTAGTGTTTAGGTGGACTAAACTGGGCTCTTACCTGGACAGCGCAGCCTAGTAGCAGCAGCAACAGTTTCTTCACCTCCTCCAGACCTTGCTCTAAAGAAGAAAAAAAACACACAAAGACAACAAACCATTAAATCCGTCTCGTTTCTATTTTGTCTCGTCTGACATTCTGTTGAACCAGCTTTTGTGGTTTCATGAGGAGCAGCCTAACAACACAGAGGTTAGTGAACTAATTCTGTTGATAGATGTTTTATTGAGAGCGATCAGAAACATTGCCTCGAGCATGTCACCTCAAAAATGAGATCTGGTGATTCATGGAGGGTGTTAACCGACGTGGTTATATTTGTAAAAGCCTTTCTTTAAAATTAAGTCCTACAAAGTGCTTTGTAATAAAACATTGTCATTGTTTCCAATTAGAGCTATAACATTATCTAGGTTATAGCAGGTGTTTCCGAGACAGATCTTACTCATCTGCCTACTCTTGCACATATTCAAATGTATTTTCCTATAAAAAAAATAAATAAATAAATAAAAATCAAGATTTAGCTGGGAAAAATCGTCCCTACATCTCACATTTACTTGGACGGACCAATTAACTAAATTCTTAGTTTGTTTCAATTCCCCCCTAATAAACCCTCCTCTCTAGTAAAAGTAACAATGTTTTCCACGGTGTAGATCGCTGACAGGATGAACTTCCAGTACTCTTCCACATGTCAGCACATAGTGTCAGAAACGGCTGAAACCAACAAACAGCTGCTAGCATGCTCAACAGGCCTGAGCTCATCTGAGGGATTTACTCCTGAACAACAGTAAACCAGGTGGTGCCCTGTGTGTGTTACACTGACTAAGAGGTATACATGCAAGTTGTGAATCTATGTTGATACCAGGACTATGCGTTTCCCCTTTTAGAGCACTGCATTTGTGCGTATGTTTGTTTGTTTGTATGCATGTGTGTACATGTGTGTGTGATAAGCTAGCTCATCATGTGGCCCAGGGGGTAGTGAGTGCGAACACTGTCCGGCTCCAATAATAATAAATCCAGATTAGTGACCGCATGGTTTTTGTCTCGGGTGGTCTGTTTGCCGCTCAATTTAATGGTCCAATCATCAGCTAAATGGCAGGCATACAGGAAGACAAGTATTATCTACCAGTTTACAATTCGTGGGACTTTCTAAATGTATTTAAATGAAAATCAAAACGGATGAATAAAGCTACTTCTCAACATTATCGCAATTTAGAGAGCGGCAAGTAGACGACCAAGCAGTTCCTTTGGGAAAGCTCAGAATCCCAAAACAGAGAATCTATCCTTCAACTTTACAGAATCCTCCTGACTACCAAGTAAATCTCCATCCTCTCATTCTTCTTGAATCAATAGAGACACACCAGTCAATGTGTTATTGAGCAATCTAGACCTCGATGCGGTCATGAAGTTGCACGTTAAATGATCATCTTTTAAATAAGAGACCGATATTATACTCATGAGGATTAATCCTTGATCAAAGGCGCAAGCCAGCAGTTTAAAAAGGACAAACTATCACTGATAAGAGAAAGAAAGCTGCTGCGCTGCTCTCTAGACATAAACTTTGTGCTACGTCACAGCGGGTTGTTTTGCATTACAGCTGGTGGAAAACTAAAGCTTTGCAGCAGCCTTTTTCCCTGTATGTGATTTCACTGTTGATTTACTCATTAAGGCCGGATAATGTTTGGATGTGTTCATCGTGGAAATTCAGCTGTAATTACATTCGTTCTGTACTGCAGCCAAGTAAAGAAGGTGAATTTTGTTTTTCTATGTCTAAGGGGAACTTTCCAGCTTTGGGTAGGACATTACAGCTAAATATATTACAAAGAAAACATGTACTAGTCTGTACCACCTCCCACATCTTTCAGACGTCAGGGATGTGTCCGGCAACTGACTTTCGTCATTCTTTACACAACTATCTGTCATGTTTTGTGTGTACAACCGAGTGCAACACTATGATTGGCTGAATCTAAAACTATTATCCCCATTTCCAAAAAATGATTATGTTTCATTTCTCTCTCCGACAGCAGATTTTTAAACCCACCTTTAACGTCGGACTAGGAAAAGGTGTTTGTAGTCGTTACAAACAGCCGTACTCAAACTAGTTATTTTCCAGCTCACCTGAGCCTTAAAATGATGTCACTCCTGCTGCAGCCATAACTAACTTGATTAAATAACTGCAACTGCGGAGGACTGATTGTACCAAGTAGCACCCAGACATAAATTACACGGCTTTATGGGTGTTAACTGGGACACTGATGGAAAAGCTCAAATGAAGACTTGACTTTCTTGCCATCTATCCACTTTGGAAAAACCTCATTTCCATTCCTGCTATTGTGGTAGTGTGCTATAAGCCAAGAGGATGTCACCGTTTTATGCTTAGTCAGTACTAGAAAACCCGTAATCAGCACCTGCATTCTGGATAAGAGAAGAAATATTCAGCATTTGAAGAGAATAAGAGCAAATTTGGGCCTAGAAGGATGACGATAGATAAAACTTAATTCTAAAAGCTGCAGGGCTTAACGGTGCACTATTAGAGCTGTAGGAACCTATTCTGGTCGGGGAATGGATTTAGCTCAGCAAATCTACTGAAGCAACATAGGAAAGATAAGGACCCTCATAGGATAAATAATTTATACAGCTAGAGAGGGGGAACAGGAGGGAGAAATGGTAAGAGGGAGAGATGAAAGGAAAGGAGACAAAAGAGGGAAAGAACCACAGAGCACAAGCAACACAAACACATGGGAGGGATGTAGAAATAGAGGCACCCAGAGAGAGAAAGAGAGCAGGAGGGAGGCAAAGAGGCAAGGTTGAAAATAGAAAAGAGAAATCTCCCTCTAGCAGCAGCAAGTAGGCTTCAAGGAGGAGCTGCCATCTCTCTCTGCTAGCCTCCTCTTTTCTCCCTCCCTCGCTTCATCCATCCATTTATTCTCTGCAAGATGCATCCACCCTTCCTTCCTTCCTTCCTTCCACATTGTTACAAATCATCTGCGCATCCCAAGTGTTTGCATTCACTCATCTAGGCTTCCTTTTTCGCCTCCTCTCCTTCCTCCCTGCTTTATCCTCCGAGCAGGAGACAAAGGTCAGACGGACAGTGACTAACCCTTCTTCCTGCAACGCCATTGTTAATCTGTGTGCGAGGATGTGAGTGAATAAGAGGAAGAAAGAAGTGTGGCTGCCTACATGTGCAATCAATTGCTACAACCCTCTCTTCTGCCATGATGAATAGAGTAATTCAGGACCCGATGACTTGCAGTTCAGTGGTGAAACTGGTACAAGCAATCCGATATTGCTTTGACAGCCTGCCAGAGTATATTCAGCCCATCTCACTGGAGCAGTGGATGGAGCTGGCTGAACCTTATTTTCGGATTATTTCAGGGGCACATGTGTTTTATAAGACAAGATAGTGTGTCAAGTGACATAAGAAACAATGTACGAACAACCCAGTCTGCTTTTACACAAGAAGCACTGACCCGGCTCATCATAAAGAAGCAAATGACAAAATACAGAAATGCATATTGGCCAAATTTTCATTTTCTTCTGTTTATCCATTCTCATAGCTTTTAAAGCCAACCCAGCACTTACATCTTCTCAGTCGTAAACACACAAAAACAATTCAGTCTATTCTACTCTTTTCTGTGGAGACACCACAACACTGTGGAAACAGACTGCATAAACACACCAAACATTCGGCAACACACATGGAGCACCGTTTAGTCCAGAAAAAAAAATAATCAGGTCTATTTCTGCTAGAAAAGTTACTCCTTTGCACACACACACATAACCGTCAAGCCCCTCGGTTAATGCTTTCTGTCAGCTGTCAACAGCTGTCTTTCCTGTTGTTGATACTGTTAAAAAAGGGGTTCTGCTCAATGGGAGGAGCTTTCAGCTACAACCATGTTTTTGATCCATCACGTTTGGCCATATTTACGGAGAGAGGATATGATGCTTTTGTAGTCAATCACTGCAGACTGAATCCATGAAATAACAATAACATAAATGACTGCAAGTGACGTGAGTGAAGCAGCTACAGACCAGCATCAGACATTTTGGCGGGACAGATTAACCAAACAAATTTTAAAGGGAAATACTTAAGTTTTCAGAAGATCAGTCCAGATCTCTGTTGCAAATTCACAGGCTTTAAGATAGACTAAACAAAGGAGGCACTGTGTGTGCGCGTGCGTGGTTGCGCATGTGCATGCAAGCATATGCCCTAAACACGACATGCATGCACAAGGTTAGTGTGCGTCTGCGCATCTCACTGTGCATGCATACAAGGCAGACTAAGGTAAATCAGAGCCTGGGGGTACTACAGTGCATTCCCACTGTTCACAGGTTTGAACACACCCCTCCCCCACCCACCGACTGAACACTAGTGCACGCACTCACACAGATGCAGAGTCGTCCCCTGCCCCCTAATGAGAGCATAATAAAAGCCACATGGCCAATGACTTTCAGCTGGCAGACGTTGAGCCAGAGAGTCAGACTCCACAGCCACCGCTGGTCTGACTGACTGACTGATTACCTGACAAGCTAGAGGGTAAAGGGCAAAAGAAACCCCGGGGAATGCAGTCCACCGCTTTCTGTGTGCTCCGGTCCACTTGCTCGGAGCTGCCCTCCGCTCTCGTCTGAGTTAGGTCGACTTTAGTCACTTAAGTCCTTTGTAAGGCTGCAGATCGGTTTTTCAAGGTGTAGATCTTCAAAAATGTACTGCTTTGGAATTAAAACAGTTGACAATATTTTGGTAGTTCTGTTCATGAAAGAATCGGTCTTGGCTTCACAATAATGATGGCCTTACTTATAATAACATACTTAAAAATACTGATGAAAACGTGTTTCTTTTGCAGGGCAGATGTTTTACCTCTAAGGGGAATTAACAACCAAGTCATCCATGCATGAAAAAGAAACGCAGGCAAACACAACGACGCACGTCTATGCGTGTGTACACGCTGCGGCCTCTTATTGTTCGTTTATTTACCCTCCATGCCTGTGGGGGCGTTTGAAAATTTAAAAAGGCAACTGTGACCATTGAAAAGCGATGAAAACCCCCAAAATAACAGCAATGGCGGTGGTGAAAGTGTGACAAAAGCAGCTGAGGGAGGACGGGGATTTAGAAGCCATTTCATCTGCTTAAAAAAAAAAAAAAAAAACAGGTACGAATATCCTTCAACACGCCGTGTCAGCTGAGCCTGGAAACAATTCACTGTGAAGAGCTGATGATTACATTTGCAGAGATATACACAAAGGCTATGAAGCTTTGTGTGGACACACTTTTCCAGAAAGTAAAAATCCAATGACCGTGTAGTGGTTTTAGCTAAAGTTTTCTAGTGCAGGCTATTGTGCCTGTAACTGATGTTATCAGGATGGGAGCATTTTTTCCATCACAGTCATCAACACAATCCTTTTATTTCCACAGCCAGCACAGCATGATCTAAACCGATGGCCTGCTACTAGTTATCTTATCTCATCTCTTAGCTCACAGGCTTCATCGGGCTCACATTGGGATATCAAGTAGCAGTTGGGGCTGCAGAGGTCAAGCTGCTCAAACATGTTTGCATGAAACACAAACACTTGACACTGCGCTACTGTTGCGTCAAGGCTGCTCAGGCATATCAAATGTCTGTGATCAGTACAGGTCGAAGCTTTTACTGCAAAATGGTTAAATTAATTGAACACTTCAGGTGATAGAAGTACACAGAGTTAGCCTGCTTTGTCTTCTTAGAGCTTCATTAAAAGACTAGTGTTAATGTGTCCATGAAACCAACCCATTCATCTGTCCATTTCCCATCACCTCAACAACACAATCAGCACTGTTCACTAACGTCTGTGAAGTCTCTTCTAATTCTGCCATCAAGTCATTTATTTAATTAGTGTGGGTTATGAATGGCAGTCCAATAGACAGCTCATTATCTGGTTAATGGAGAAACAAAGAAAGGAAGTGGCTGGAAAATGAAATCTACATCCAGAGAGAAAGTCACTTGAATCCTCAAAGCAATGGATAATTAAAAGAGGACTATTGTTACTGATGTCTTATTAGAATGCATGTGTGCTCCTTGTGATCTGTACATATGCTTGCTGCTCAAATGATTCAACTAGAGGAATGTCTTGAAGCAGATGTGAATATTTTTTCTGTTTTTCTTATGTTTAGAGGCCAAGAGCACTCAAATTAAAACCGCTAGAGCATTGGTGAAGGTATTAGTCTGCATAATATGGTGGTTGTATTGTTTAGCACACTGACACTTACCAGACAGAGGGTTGCGGCCCAGAACCAGCACGTTTGGTAAAGGCATCATCACCAGCTGCTGGAGGGTCTCCTGGTACACAAAGAAATAAAAAAGGAAGTCAGGAAGAGAGATCAATATTTAGCATTTAAAAAGAATTACAGATATGAAAATGGAGAGATACAATTTGCACGACCCTAAGCTAGCTCAAACAACTTGATCTAATTACGCGCACACACACACAGTGTGTGTGAGGGTTGGGCACCTCATTTTGATGTTCTGGTTTAAGTGAAATAAATCATCAAATTATGGGCACTGCAATGGTGCACAAACAAGCTACGAGCAAATGACTTACATTCATGTCTTTACATAATTATATTGACTAATCTTTGGCCTACACATGATGCAAAGTGTATTCATTCAAAACAACCATAAAAACAATTTGTCATGGTGCTACATTATAAAACCGTTGATGGAGGCGATCACTCAACAGCCTGACAAAATATTTTTGCAGTCCTGACCTTTAGAGCAGTACAAACAAAGTCCAAACCACAGTCGTGTTGAAAAGAAAGGCTGGTTTCTTTAAGGACATGAAGGTCACCTAACTTAAATATTTCATGTCTGCTTTTTGCCATCAGGTGGACAGAACTCATTAGACCCACAGTTCTATGCAGGTTACTGCTGATGTCTTGACAAGGAGGCTTATACAAGTACGGGGTGTTGGAGAACCCCCCCCCCCCTCTCTACCGCCATAACCATCTGCCCTACTGTATACATATTGCATTACCTCATCGTGGAGGTAAAGCGGGGCAGGAAATCATTTGGTGGTTAAAAATAGAGCCACAACTGATTATTTTTGAGAATGATTGAAAGCGGCTACCAGCTAAGTTGACAGAGTGAATTAAATCAAAACTGTATACCTAAAATATCTTCTACACGTTTGAACTACCTAAAATCACATTGTAGAAGCAGACACGTTGCAGGAATATAAAAAAAGGGTAAACCACTGCCACCATTGCTAATGCCAAGTCAAAAGGAGGACACCGTACTTAATAGGATATGTTTTACTGTCATGGACTTATCTACAAACAATACATTTTTTCCTAATCTTTACCTTAAATTAATGAGTAGGTTGATGAGCCCCTAACATAATATTTACAACCATATATTACCATATGCATGTATGTACTGTACAGCAAAAAAGACATGTACAAGCAAAACAAAATCTTATAATATAAATTACAAACTCCTTGGTGATGGTTTTAATAAAATGTTAAATGTTCACTCTCTCTCTTCCAAGGTTTTCTTTAACACCATGTTTCAGTTCCTCTTTTCTCCCATAAAAATGTGTTTGTACATAATGTGCTTGTTGTTTGAAGAACCTAAATGTGTCCCCGATTCCTCGTGTCAAGGCAAATGTATACAACACATTTGCAAACAACTTCAGATTTATCCTCCTTATCGGGGCTTGCAGCAGAGGTGACTGACCCCTGTGGTCGTCTGAACCTTTGTTGGCTGCTTGATTTGATGCAGAGACAGAAAACCACTGGTTTATAGGGGAAGATGTGAAGAATGTGTGTGTGTGGGGGGGGGGGTAGATTTCCAGTACATCACTCATCTGGTTTCAAGCAGATAGCACAGAGTGACAAATAAATAAGGAACTGCTACAAGATGTTGTGTATCATACTGTACTGTGCAAGTCTTAGTTGCGTATTTTTGCACATCCCCGTGTTGATGACTGTTGGTTCAGGGTTTGCAGTTAACTCATGAAGTGGGATCCATGAAGTGTGTGGTGAAAGAAAAAACTGTCATTACGACGTTTTCATTTGAGCAAACAAGTGAATGAATGTATTCTTGCATAAAAAAACGAATTGTCCATAGTTTAGTATATGCCCACCAAATGTCTTCAGAAGCAGCTTATATGACCTGAGGTGAAGATCTAAGTTTGGGCTGCACTGATCGTCAGTCACAGTTATTAAATTAGGAGCATGGTTGTCACGTTTTCTCTGTCATGGTGATATCAGCACTGACCCCATTTGCCCCGTCCGCCCATCTCTCTGTTTACACTGGTGTATAGGTCATGCAGGGTCATTGACACACAAAAAAAAAAAAAAAAAAAAAACCCAGCCATTTTCAAACCAAAGGAACAGAAATGAGACTATTCCCTTTTCAGATATGTGATTAAGATCTTATAAAGTGAATTACCGGCATGTTGGTCTTGTAAATAGACTCAGCCTTTAAATCGACAACAACAAATTCAGTGATGCCAAAAACACAGTAAATAATTCATCAAATCCGATACTATATGGTGACCCTGACTCTAATGATGAGTCATGCTGTGTCAGGCTGTTCCAGTCAGGAACGGTCTTTTTGTCTGATGACTGAGACAGATTGACTCAACAAGCGTCAGACAGAATAATCAGCGGCACTCAGACGGCCACAGTTGGTGTCTCACAGAACAGCATTTGGTGTGCCTGGAAGCCAATCCACCATGTAGAACTCATGACAGCCGCTTTGGGCAGAATCAGCCAAGACTATAAAAACGGCAAAGAAACCAAAATCTGCTTCATCAAAAGGAAACTGTGGAGCCTGGAGTCACCCTCATATCTAAAGTTGTTCTCCTTGTTCTTCTTGTAGTTAGTTGTGTTTTAAATCAATTTTCAGAGAGAAAGAGAATTGACACCAGCAGATTGAACATCTTGCTCTTGTGCAAACTGCTAACAGTACTTTCAGCATTGCAGAAAATGATGAGTCACCACAAAGAAGAAACACAATCACACACACACACACACACACACACACCTCAACCACCTGTCCCACTACTGCCCACTGCTTTCCATCAACACATGCTCACACCTGCCCCCCCTTCAATGGCAGCATGTGTTTGCTGTGCAAGCACGACATTTCAGGCCAGGCTTTTTTTTTTTTTCCCTGTCATCTTTTTTCAAAAAATGTTCACACTCACTTTATCACAACAAGTTCCCACTGCTAAGTAGTAAAGAATTGATCTTTTACTGAACACAAAGACAAGGCGAAAATTACATTAAGGGCTTCAGTGCGGGTATCGGCTAAAGAGTTTACAATGGAATAACCTGTACTGTGCTGAGTCATGAGCTTATTGCAACACTCTGCCTTTTCAAAACCACTTCTCCTCCCTTTCCTTCCATTGAACCACTCTTACAGTCCGTGTTCCTCTGATATGTCCGGGAGTTAGCTTAGAGCTTTCTGGAAAAAAAAACGTAAAAAAAAAAAAAAAAAAAAAAACAGCTTCTAATGTTTTTTCCTCTCATTTTTTGTCTTTGTTCGGTATCTGACTTTAGAACAGTAAAAACACAGATTGTAGCACTATAGAAATAATGGAGACTAGATTATTTATAGACGTTCAGAGTGCGAACGCCACTGTGTCTTTCCTGCAGAGCACAGTGCAGCACAATGTCTATATTTTATGCCATATGGAGAGGAATATTAAATCACTAGTTACAAACTATAATGCTCCGACTGCTTAAGGAGCTGGAGATATAAGGAAATAGCACTTGCTTTGGATTGGTTTTATTGGTAACCACTTTGTTTTGGTGGCGCTATATTGATGAAATGGAAGGATGGATGGACGCACTACTAATACAACACCGTAAGTATTTTGCCAGCAAATAGTGCATGTACATAAACGGCTGTATTTTTGAAAGATGGTGGGTTATAACATGCTTTGAGGATTAGCTGCAGGCTAATGAAGCTAAACTACAGTAGACTAATATGCCTCTTGGATTAGCTGGCGAAGGCTTAGCTCTCATACATAAAACATGATGGACACTGCAGGAGGGAGACCAGCCACCACACTGATCATGTCATGGTGATGTGCTACAAACACCGACAGGCATGCAAGCGCACGCACACACGCACACACACACACACACACACACACACTCTCTCTCTCTCTCTCTCTCTCACTCGGCTTTCAAACGGAAAGCCTGACTGTGGCAGCAGAAACGTCCTTGGCTCAGTCACTATGTCACTATCTAACCATATCCAATTCACACATGGGGAAGAGGGAAGAGTCACTCATTTATATTTTCAAAAAAAGACATTTACATAGTGAGGAGTGAGTGATGATGGAGAATAAATGAGAAATGGAGCAGGAAGATGAAGACGGAGAGAAAGAGAGAGATGCAGCTTTGATTCCAACACTTCTCACTCCAGGCACGCAACGCTGAGCTGCCTCCTCTTCTCACCGTCTTCCCTTTCCCCCCCCCCATCCCCCTACCCCGACTCTGTATTGCTGTATTATTGATTCCAGCAGGATTCACAGCTCCTCTTCCATCCCACGGAGACATTTAGACAGACTGATAGAATGAGGCGTTGGTTAAAAGGAGAGCTTGTCGAACACAATGGGATTCGCTCATTCAATATGTTTTGTAAAAAAAGGGATGTGGTATTGGGCACGTGCCTTTATGTTCATGTGAGCAGCTCAATACAGTCTTCAAATTAGCTCTGCAGGTCTGTTAAACTCACATACTATCACAAAAATATTGATCTGCCTCATCCTCCCAGGGCTGTTCCAACATTTCCTCTGGAAATGAAATCCCCGACATCCTCAATTCAAACTTAGAAAAAGATGTACGAAAGAATATTTTTTTTAAAGAGCATTATGAGGCAGAGATACAAAACCTAAATGATTTGGAGGTCTGCATCCTGCTCTATTGTCTCAAGCTAGCTGTGGGCTGAATGGAGGTCTGCTGACAATTGAGATAATATTCTGCTGATCCATCAGTTTGGTAGATGACGAGGACACACACACACACACACTAAAATAAATAGTGCATGTGCTCTTACAGTAGGAAGGTGTGTAAGTTTGTGTTAAAGTGGTGTGACTGACAAGGTTACAAGGCTGCTGTGCTTCTGTCACACAGGAGCCCTGTCTGTTAAACTAGCCCTCTCCAACACACACACACACACACAGCTCCCTACAACTCCTTCCCATCCATCCACCCAAGCACAACTTCCGCAGTGGCACAGATTTAATAGGGGACTAATTGTACTGCCACTGTCTGTGTGTGTGTGTGTGTGTGTGTGTGTGTGTGTGTGTGTGTGCGTACAAA